TGCCAATGGGCGGGCCCTGTTGGGTGCTGGCTGCCATTGGCTCTATCGGACATGGTGGAAGCTTTTAGCAGCTTCTCGCAGAAGCCACCCCTGTAGCCTCCCCGCTACCAAAACCTTGCCACACAAACCCAGTACAAGTCTTCACCTCAGCGCACATGTAGGCTCCTCGGTAAGGTACTCCAGCGAGGAAAGCCACCAGAAACACAGGCTGGACAGGGCTAGCTGGAACCAAGCAAGTGACAGGTGATGCTTGCTCATCACTTGACAGCCAGCTCCATGAACCAACCCAGTCTCACTACCTACAGCCCCTTTAAACATGACTGTCAAGGGAAAAGTACTTCAGGTAGTACTCGGGTGTCAGACAGCTGAGGCTACGTAAACTAGGCCCAGCCTTCAAAGAGCTGCCTGGCTCTGCCCGCAGAGACCACTGCTGTCCTCCAAGTAAGGCAAACGGTTATCCAGCACGCGGAACTCAGAACAACCACTCACTTATAAGACAGCACATAATCTTTGATGCTCTTTCATTCTCAGCACTGACAGCCCACAGGAGCATGGCAGGTCTGAGGATCTTTATTTCACAGTAATTAAAGTCTGGAGGGATGAGTTACATACTGTAGCATCTATAGGTAGACAGCAAGTTGTAGGAACAATGTGGTACTCACTTTGGGTTTAATGACAGGATGTGAGACTGCACAGCTCTGCTCAAGGTACTGAGGCAACTCCAAAGGCTGGCAGTGAAAACAAGATACTAAACCTGGAAAAAATCAATTGGCCCAACTAGGGCTTCGGAAAAAAAAATATTATCACATTAATGCCAGGGAAAAAAAGAGTTCAAACAGCAGCAGGTAAGAATATCCCCGAAAGGGGAATCAATTAACATGGGCATGGACAGAACAGATAGGAGAGGGAGAAGCTCAGGGCAGGTCATAACCACAGCCAGACCAGATCACAACAACATACATGGAGCAACATGCCCTATGCTTTTTGTGGTATGTTACATTAGTCTGTCTTCATCCCTTCTCAGCCACCTCCCAGTCCAGCAGTTAGTTACAGCACTGTTTGCAAATACAGTTAGTGAGAGTCCACAGCTCCCCATTCCTTGTAATGGACTAATGTAATTCATTAGAGGCTCGGAAAGTGTAGGCCACACAACGCACATGAGAACAAAGACAGGTGGAAGCTCTTGCCAAGCACACAGCATTTCTTGGTGCCGTGCTTATGCAGCAGTCCCAGACAAGGCTACTAAGGTTGTGTCTCTGGATACACTGACCCCACCCGATAGAGGGCGACATGGTAGTGAACCACAGCACTCCTCAGGCTGACCTGGACTCAGCTGGCATGTAGAAAACAAACGGAGACACTGGAAGTACTGTAAGGGCTTGGATACTCCACAGAAAATTAATATGGCCTGTAGTTCCAGTAACTGGAGAAAACAGAGATCTGGAAAACACGAAGAAAAGCAGATAAGTTCCTGTATCCCTTGGGCCATAGAAGAAAGCGCATATAACACATGTATTAAGATTGAGCTTTACAGCGTTACACACTTCAGCACTGCACTGGAGAAGGGCAGATTTGCTGCTGTTGTCACTGAAGAGGCTTGAGAACAAAGTTACTTGCTCAAAGTGGCAGCCAGGTCAGCTGCAGAGCTGGAACTGAACATTGGTCTACTGGAATCTAGATTGCTGAGGTCTCCATGCCTCCTCTCCAGCAACCTGGCATTTTCTCACACCCAGCTCACGACTGAGAACACAAAAGTTTCTAACTGCTCCTCTCCATCTTGTCACTAGGTTCAGCAAACACGTCTGCCATGCTACTACATTTATCCCATACGGCTGTCTGCCAGGCAGTGTCAGCCAGCTCCCTGGCTCCAGAGCATTGACTCATCACTCATTTTCAGTTTATATATAAGTTGTACAGAAAAATATCACATCAGATTTTTAGGACATCTGAGGTCCTCTCAAAATCCAGAGTTAAAAACAAAGCCCCTTCTCTAAGGTCATTACCTTGTCCTTCAGTTGCTGGCAAAGCTGCAGTGAAACTGTGAAGAAGACAAGGGCATCATTTAACCACGGGACAACACATTCCACCTTATGGACATGGCTGACTTCATACCGCTGGTTGCCAATCTCACTGGAGTGGGGGAAAAACAGGAGCACAGCTTCACACACAACAGCATAGAACATAAAACTCAACTGTCCTCCATTCTCATAGAAGAGATCATTATGATTTCTACTAAATTTAAAGCAGCACCTGGCAAAGTTACAGAATGCAAATACTCAGTCTATCTCTGACCAGGTTTAGAGCTAAGCTAAATCTCACATGGTTAAGGTAGAAACTTTGCCACTTCCCGGAGAGGCAGAGAGGCAAGAAATGCAGATGGCAATGCCTATAACCTAACGTTCATTTTGGTTGACAACTCTGATCTCCAGACAAACTCATGGCACCGTATGGGTGGGCTGTATCCTGAAAAGCCCCATCTTCGGCCTTTGTGACTGAGTCATTAAAGAAATACTGCTATGGGTACCTGTGCATTCACACAGGCACAGCCACAGCAAGTGGCAGCTTCCCCACTCAACAGATGCTATCATCAACACTGCGTACAGCCATTTGGTTCTCATCCTCAGCATACTCCTATACCTGTTACACAGCCCTTGCAGTGACTGTACTTACAACATGGCTCCAGGGTTGTGTAAAATGGACCCTCCAGCAGGTTTGAAGTTCTAGAAGAGAAGGAAAAGGTCATTAGAATTTTGACGCAGTAAACAGCCTACTTAGAAGGAGGACATTTAAGGTTTGCACTTTCAGCAGCCTGACATCAAGAAATGACTATACTGTATCTGCCTGAATACTCCATTCATATGGAATCTATGTCATTTGATCCCTTCCTGCTCCTTCATGAAAACAATTCAACACAGTGGCTGAGTCCAACTTAGCTCCAAATTTTAGCACCACAAAAATAAGACGAGAAGATCCAGAAGAAAAACAAAAGATAGATTTTTAGGAAAAATATCTGTATGGGAGGACTGCATTTCATAAAGCTTAAGAGTTTAATTCTGGTTTTACAGGACATCAAGCTGACCCAAATACAACAAGTGAAGCAGAAACGCATCCATGAAAACATTCAGAAAATCCAAGATGTTGCTACTTCAATGTAAACAGGATTAATACAATTATGCCCTTCCAAAATTACACAAAATTATCAAACTGTATTGTAAGACAAAGCATTACTTGGCAAAGAATAGTTACTGGCTTTCTCCAGAGCACTGCTATTTTCTTCTGGGCTAAGTGGTCATGCCCCAAACTGTCTGCAGCAGATCTAAACACAGATACTTAGCACCAGTTACAGTCACTTCTGCATTATCTTATGCATATAACATCGCACAACGTAGCAGTGCCATCTCCTCCTCACAGAGGGACATAGGGAGAGGTAAATAAACGAGGCTCAAGAGACAGTAAGCATCACCTTGGTTGTGCTGGGCTGCAGCACATGGAGTTGGTAGACAGTCAGGCACAGCTTATTCAGGTTAATATAGAAATTCACAAGGATATCTGGAGGCAGAGCAGGTGTGAACATTTTCTGGTGAGAAAATAAGTAGTTTCTTTGTCAGTGAAAGGACAATTATTTCTAATGCTGGGAAATTACTACCTTTTTCTAAGCCATGCTAGTTACCCCACAGTGAGAGGGACATTAGGAAAAGAAAGACTGAGCAGCTTGCAGGCAATGGTTGCTCCTCTTGCTGCACTTGATCAAATGGTGTGTGCATGATGGAGACAAAAGAGGATGGAGCAGTGTTCACAAGGGGAAATCATCCCTGGATGAGCTTCCTGGGCAGAGAACAGAACTTACTCTCTGAGAACCAGAGTCCTCATGCCCAAGTCATCTGCTTTCCCAGAGGAAAATCCAGAGCAGCCAAAAATGCGCAGGGTTTACAGCTACTTCAGCTCTCTCTTTCTGTCTCAGGAGACACTTCAGAAATCCCCTTCCACCAGGATGCAGCACACTATCCTAACTGTTGTGTGCTGCCAGACTGTATGGAGATCTAGACCACCACGTACTTACTGTGAGACCACTGGAGGCAATTTCTGGTAGAGTCAGAGTCGCTGGAGTTGTAAGCCGATTCCGGGCTCTTGAGAGCTGTAACATCACAGCATCCATAAGCTACAAGATAACGTACGGTATGCTGCTGAGTGGCAATCCCTGGACAGCTCTGGATAGCATGCTGCAGAATCCTACAGCCTTTTGCACGTGTTATAACAACCATCACCTCCCAACCCTTCCAGGAATTCAGGGATGCAGTTTAACTGTTACCACCGTCATAGACACTTGTGAGAGAGGCCAGGAGTGTTTAATACCAGGAACTGAAAAGAGAGCAGCTATTCATTAGAAGAATAAGAGAACATGAGATCAATTACTTGATGCCACAGAAGCATCAACAAACTCATCATCAGCTCTTCTGAAGAGCAGGCAGTAAGGAAAAACAACAAGCTGTGTTCTAGTTCTCCCCATTCCCACATCATGGGTACAACAACTGCTGAATAGGCCCACTCGTTCATAACCATCTATAAGCTAGGGTACCAGAGAAAAGAGCCAGCTCATCGTGAGTCCAATCCTGCCAGAAACCATGGTTCAAAGGCTCTATTTTTACAGAAAAAAAAAAAGTGGAAAGCAACATATGTTGGCTACAGAGCTCATAACAGTTAAGATTAAGGCGTTTCATATTATGACTAATTTCTCCCTCCTACTTCCACCCAAAAGTAAATTTATTACCCAGCTTCTTCTTATTGGCAACCCATGCCCATGTGGAAACTAAAAAGGTTTAGCTTTCTCATGTTTGATATTGTGATGGAGTCTAATGAGTGAGCTGAAACTCTGGTAGCTTCAGAGAGCATTTCCAAGCAGAGGGCTGAGTTTTATTGCCATGCAGCAGCTGGTCTGTATCAGACCACATCAACCACTACTAGCAATGAGAAGTCACTTTCAAATCATCAGTAAATCATGAGTATTAACTGTAATCTTTTGTGTGCTGATGACTCATTTCTTCTCCCCCCAAAAGCACTGACTGACAGGGAAGAGCATGAGCTGTGTAACCACATCATCCAAAAAAACACCAAGGCAGATGCTCCCAGAATATCGCTGCTGTGCAACAGGGCACTGACTGCTCGCAACTACCATTCACCACGATGTACAACCCTGTTACTGATGATAAACTGCTATGGATTCCTATCAAATATGAAGTCACGTGAACACTCCTTGACACAAGTACACAGGTGTACAACTGGGGAATCCATTTCCAGTAATAGACTCAAGATAGTAACATGCATTAACTGTATTTAAAACAACAAATGGAGGGAAGAAAAATGCACGTTCCTACTCAAGTAGACAGGACTTTCTCCTCACCTTGAGGACCTCCGAGCCTGTTTTGAACTGGTAGTTTACATCTCTGTTCATAAGCAGGTAAATGGCTTGATTAACATGGTTTCTAGCATCCTGGATCTGCAAAGGTACAAATGCAGCCCCGTTAAAGAAACTCTATAACACACACTAGGAAGTAGAGGTTTTCCTGATTATCTTGTTGGCCCTAAGAAAATGGTGGTTTCTCAAATGTTAAGGACATTTCTCTGTGAGTACCGGACACTTGCTAACACAAATCAACCACTGCTGCCCAGATGCATCACTGGGTTCTTCACTCAAGGACTGGAGATGCAAAACAGTCTGATAGCTACAACCTGGATCGTCAATAAAAATATCGCTGCTGCCCTGAAGGAACAGTGACATCAGGCACTCTCATCCTGATCATGACTGTTCAGGTAAGAATTCTCACTGTTGATGATATATTTCAGTCAGGTTTAGCAACACGAATAATGATGTCTTCCTTAGGAACTATAAGAGCTAAAACCAATGACATAAATTACAGCAATAGCAGCAATGAGCAGTAAATCTTGATTTCTAATATAGTGTCTCTGGCAGTATTTTCAGAGTCCTTCTAAACTGTAATTGTTGGGGTTGAGAGCTATCTCCAGCATAAAGAAGCTGCCATTGCGCTGCTTGTGTGGAACTTGACCAGGCTCAGGACACGACTAGCTCAAGTCCCTTTCAAGCAAGACCACTTACAGCCAGGAGACAATTATCAATGCAAGGTTGGTAAGTGTATCCCAGTGGTGATACACTCCCATGGGAGGAAGGACAAACCAGAGGAAGAAGAAAATGGCCCTAGGAGAAAGTGACTTGTGTTCAATTCCAGGCAGCAGCAGGAAAATTGAAAAAAAAAAAAAAAAAACAACAAAGGGGTAAATCTGAGGGTGCAATAAATGGAAAAGGTAAGCAGGGAAGCCTGTATGAAAGGTGGCTGCTGGGAGATGGATAACATAGCTTGGGATATTTGTAGTCTGATACATCTACACTGCTCCCCAGCAACCCCAGATCCCAGCTCAGCCTTGTAGAGGCCTTCCTGACACAGATGTGAGCACTGGTTCCTTCTCACCTGGAGCTCAGGGATCACAGAATAGCACTGCTCTTAGAAAGCACAAGGCACTGGAGGCTACACAGAGAAGAAAGAGATGATAAAGTCCACTGCCAGACTACAGGAGAGACTCTGCAGGTACTTAGGCTATGGCATCTCCAGACATCACCACTTTCAGCCTTTACATCTCCCAGATGCTTTTGAGCAAGCTAAGTGGTTCCTGGCAGCAATGCCAATCCTGCTACTATAAGGACTTGCTTCATTCCTATTCCCCCTTGATTTTGCTCTGTTTTCTAATACAGTTCCTCAAAATTTGTGTGCTGCACTTGTGTTCCTCAAAAATGTGCCTATTTCTTACCAATGACTTGAATTTGCACAGAGAAACAAAACTTCAACTGGCACCACTCACTAAGGGAAGAAACTCATAATACTTTGAGATACTAATTTTTAATTCAGACAGCACAAAGATCTCCACATAATCACTGTAAATGCTCCTGCACAGAGTCCTTTAGACACTCGCATTCCACATCCGAACAACATTAGAACACAAAACTCTACCAGGTAAATAAAGGAAGGTGTTTTCCATAAAAGCTGGTAGAAGCCTATCAACCAGGCAGCAATACAAAACACCCACAAAACAGGATGCAATACTGAGCGTTATCACAAAAACTTCATTGCCTTGTTGTTAGGCTTAAGTAAACTCTGTCAAGTTTAGCACTAACATCTCAAGTACACAATTTTCTAGAGTTCTACAAAGTTACCAGGTAGAGCTTTTATTCTGCTGCCAAAACGGCTGTTGGAAACTGCACTCAAGACCAAACGCACTGATCACCTAGAAAAATCTGAGCCATGGTGTAGCAAAGCACATGGAATATATATATATATATATTTCCAAATGATTCAGCTATGACAAAGTAACTGTGGGAAACAATGTCTTCAAGATCAGGCAATAGATGGGTCCTGACACCAGGTATCTCCCAGCAAAATAGTGGGAAAGAGGTTCAATGTGCTGGATAGCCATGTCCCTTTAACTCCTTAACCGAGGGAACTCAGCTATGCTACAAGAGCACAATGCAGTGAAATTTGTTCTCAGCATAAAGAAATGCTTCCATAAGAGAATGAGAGCAAGCTACTCAAAGCCTCTGAATTTGCTCTTTGCCCCGCTAGCCTGGGTTTTACAAGCAAACACAAGGTGAGTACGGCACAAGCACCCTAGGCACCCCTGTTAAAGGATTATGACTGCTATGCAGACAGCCTTCAGCTTGCTGGTGTTTCAGGAACAAGCAGAAACTACCTCTCTCTCTCTCCTACCACCATAACTGAATTTAATTGCATCTGATTCCTCCCTTAGCTTTTACCACTGGAGCTACTGTGGGATAGGCATAACCTTTTCTCTTAGAAAGTGAGAAGGTACAACTGCTGCTTGGAGGTTGTGGATGCTGGAGGAATAGGCATTTAAAGTTAATAGTACCTGCTGCAATTTCCACTGCTTGTCTTCCCGAAATGCAAAGTGCAGGAGCTGATTATTTCTGGGCATTTTCAGATTAACATCCTTGAAGAAAGAAACAAACACGTGAGAACAAGCAATCCCCATAGGCAGAACATGGAGACTGCCTGTCACACTCCATTCTGTCTCCCAGACCATCTTGGCAAGCTGCTTTCAGCAGTCCTGGCATGGCCAGAATCTCAGTCCTCCTACAGGAAGATGTTAATACAAAAGATAAGTTGAAAGGCATTTAGTGAATCGGGATCCAGGCAGGACACATGACTTCATCTCAGAAGGCCCCCAAGGAAATTTGATATTACACAACAACAGCGGTAGAGGCAAGGAATCCCCATGAAAGTCAACTCCACTTACGACGGGGGTGGGGGGGGCGTTAGATGCTAGATCTTGACAAATTTCAAAAGTTGCTGTAACGTGAAGGTTTTAATGCCTATTAAGGAAGACAGACAAAGAATACTTATTGATCACTGGTAAAGCATAATAAGGATGACCTCTCCTTTGAGGTCAAAGTGTAATAAGGATGATTCCCACCCCTTGATAGTTGTTCAAAGCAAGAAGCACGGCAAGTACTCACAGCTTGACACAGGGCATCTCCCTGCAGCGTCAACACACCTTTCACTTGGTCTGTGCTGGAATGAGAAGAAGGATCTGGGCAACACAAGTCACAGGAGGCAAGAGGCACCTACCGAAACTGCTAATCTGACACTACCTCTCCTTGTCCCATGTAGCCAGCCAAGTTCCCTTCCTTCCAGGGGTCAGCTAGGGGATGCAGATGAACTCTACACACACACTTTCAAGTCTCCAGCTCTTGGCCTGCAGCCAGCTGCTGTCATATTCTTTATGAGCCACCTCACCCTAACTGCCCTGCCTAAAACATTACCTTTCTGATCCCATGCTTATTTCATGTATTGCCTATCAACAAATAGCTCTAGCAGGCACAAACACAAAATATTAGATGAATTACTGACATTGGAGTGCCACCTAGTTCATATGGGAGTTGAAAGCTACAACCTCCCCATCCCTCCCCCCCCAAAAAAAAACCCTAAATAAATAAAAAAACGACACCTCAAAACCTTTAAAAGGTCTTGCAAGATGGCTCACATCTACAGTGAACAGGGGGGGAAGACTGAAGCACCTGGGCCTTCAAGAATGCAATTTAGCCATACCTTACATTTTAATACACTAGACAGAGACTCTTTAGATCAACACTTTTTAAGATCCACCTTGCAACAACAATGAATGAAAACAAGAATCAATGTTAATACTTTAAGATCTGAAGAATGCAACCTTCAAACCCAATACAGAATCATAGATCATTCAATAAATACCCACCACGCTGTTTCTAATGACTAAGGTCTCCTACTTTGCACCAACCTTGCCACCTCTGCCAGAGTGCAACTATTCAGACCAAGGCCTATGCAAAAAATGGACAGCTATTTCAGAAAAACTGCACTTCTATAGCATCTTCTGCACAGATCTCAGTTTGCTCTGTGCAAAGCAGATTTATTATTGCTATTTTAGGGAGATCAGGACAAAGGTTAAGATTTGTCCATGGTCAGAGTCAGAAATTCAGCCAAGAGCAGAATTCAGGTCCTGTAACTTTAACTCCCTGCACCCAGAATCAGAAAAATGCCCTTGGCAAAACTGCTGACAACAGCACACAGATTCAACACCCCAGCACGCGGTCATGAATCAGTGACCATATTATAGGTGTCGGTAGAAAATGGCACAAGTCTGGCTAAGGCAGCCCCCGGAACATGGTTACAGACTGTTAACGTTAACCTGCCACGAGAGTTTGTTCATTTGTTTTCCTGAAGGTGAAATCTCACATTA